AAACTTTTTTCATAGCCTATGACTTTTCCGAAATTATATAGTAAAATACATTTTTTTTTATATCGCTAAGGTTTCAAAAAGACTGTTTTTTATAAAAAAATTTATATATTTTTGTTGAAGACAATATATAAAATACTAATACAAAGAGAAAATTTTTACTTCATATAAATTTTTAAAAATTGCAATAGAACGAAAAACATTTATGATAAAAAATTTTCAAAAGAGTTTTTGCATGATTTGTTATTTCATAAACTAAAAACTCTCTGAAGCGTAAAACTATAGCTTATTCTCTATTAGTTTAAGTAAATTTTATATCTTTATCATTAAAAATAAAAGAGAAGTAGCAATTTAAAAAAATGTATTTTTTATTTAATACCATTTGACAAAATCGACAAAAAATTTTTTTGGAGTCTATAGGTTTATAAATTCAAATAAAAAAAATTTCATCGATTTTGGTCAAATGATTGTGGAGATATCTTTGCTCAAAGTTAGAGAAAAATCAAAACGCTATCAAAACTAGTACCAAAATTTTTTCGCGAAGATTTCTTCACAACCACCTGACCAAAATCGATGAAAATTTTTATTTGAATTCTATAAAATGTATACAGTAGAGTTCAAATAAAAATTTTTTATCAGATGGTTGTGGAGATATCTTAGTTCAAAGTTAGATGCGCCAAATTTTTCAAAACTTTGAGCGAAGATATATCCACAACCACCTGACCAAAATCACAAAATTTCTTTTATTTGAATTCTATTAAATTATAGAATATAAAATAAAATAAAAAAATTCAACGATTTTGGTCAGGTGGTTGTGGATATATCTTCGCTAAAGTTTTGAAAAAATTTGGCGTAACTTATATTTTGATAGGCGGTTTGATTTTTCTCTAACTTTGAGCGAAAAATATCTCATAATCACCTGAACAAATCGGTAAAAATTCAAAAAAAAAAAAAATTAATCAATTTTGGTCAGGTAAGTGTCTGGATATCTCGATTAAAATTTTTTAAAAATTTTTACTTTTGCTGGGGTGCGTGTAAGATAGTGTAAAGGGGAAGGAGCCTTTGAGAATCAATCAGGCTTACACAATACCACTTTGCCTCTGCCAAATTATCAATTTTGATAGAAATGATTCATCTAAAATCTTACTGCACTGACGTGTGTTAATAAAATACGGCATCAAAGAAAATAGCATATTAAAAATCCCAATTATAGGTTTGCACTTTGATAAATTTCCGATTCCCAATTCCCATGTGATGTATGATACATACCACAGTAATTTGAAAATATACTCATATAATAACTTAATAAATAATCAACAGCTAGGAACCTCTACAAGTTCTATAAGCTTACTGATCTCCGAAGGCTTCTGTGTAATTTCTCTCCTGTTAATGAGTTTGCTCGTAAACATATGATCCGAATGTTTTTGTACATCTATTGGTAATTGTTTTGTAATTTTATCAGCATCCAAGAATTGTTTTTTGATTCCATCTAAATCATCCGAACTACATAATAATTTATACGCTTCACCAATTTTTTTATTGAGATCATAAATATTAGGTCTCTCTTTTGGATTAGAGTCCATGCATTGCTCAGCTAATTCGATATAGTAATCTGGAGTTCCGGGTGCAAATTCAGGGCGCAATCCAACACAAATCTCTATTGCAAGTTCAGCATCAAATTTATAATCATCGAAAGCCCTTTTTTCCAGTAGTTATTTCCGTCATAATGATCCCCAACGAATAAATATCAGAAGCTTTTGTAAACTTTTCACCGTTTAGAACCTCAGGAGCAATATACCAAAAATTTCACCATTTTTTACGGACAAAGTAAGACCTAAATCTGCAATATACGCATTGTCTATATCATTTTGTAAAATGTTGCCACTATGCAAATCTTTGTGAATGTATCTTTGAGAATGAATCGCTTCAAGATCTGAAATTATACAATGTAACAATTTTAACTTTTTTCTCCAAACCATTTGTGCTACATCGCAAAGATTTTTTATTTAAAGATTTCAATCTAGCGTATTCTAAAGCAAGAATGTATTTTCCTTTATCATTTTTTGATACACCATAGCATTGTAAAAATGACGGATTCACATCTCCAATTTTACAATATGTTCTCAACTCCTTTACAAATTTTTTATGATCATCTGAATCAAGTGTTTTAAGTGCAACATACATATTTAAATTTGTGCTTTTATCATACCAACTTGCAAGATATATAGTTGCAAATCCACCTTTATCTATTTCTTTAACGCCTTTAAATTCTTCATATGGAATCCATGGTAATTGATAAAACGTACTTTTTAAATCGTCATCGACATCAGATTTATTATAGACAAACTCGTATTGAACTATAAAGATATAAATATAAATTTTTTAATTATTAATTTAATTGAAAAATATATATAAATTACCTTTCATCATATTTCTTGCTCTAATTATAGAATTATTTGGTAATAAGTTAATTTCATAAAATAATAGCAAAATAAGTAAAATCAACACCTACCTTTTATACCAATAATTTGATTTTTGTACATCTCTCTCTATTCCAACTCCATTTCGATAGCATTGAGCAACCCTTGACATTCCAAGAAAATGTCCATTTTCTGCAGCTTTTTGAAAATGTTCGAAAGCCTTGCGTTCGTCCTTTTCGACGCCAATTCCATAACGATAACAATAACCAATGTTGTTTATTCCAATAGCATCACCCATCTTTGCAGCTTTTTGAAAATGCTCGAAAGCCTTACGTTCGTCCTTTTCAACTCCGACACCTTCCCAGTAACAAAGACCAACACGATTTATTCACTCATTTCTGCAGCTTTTTGGTAATGTTCAAAAGCCTTACATTCGTCCTTTTCAACTCCAATTCCTTTCTCATAATAATAACCAACTCGATACATTCCATCAGCATCTCCTACTCTGAGAACTTTCGGTAATATATGAATGCCTTACGTTCATTTTTTTTCACAAATAAAAAACCGCAGCAATAACAAACTCCTACAAAAAATATCATCTCTTTATAGATCGTCAATGGAAGATTTAAAAAGTATGCGGTCAAAAATACTCCATTATAAAGTATATATCGTAAATTCCACATTGATAAAAGCTAAATTGTATAATTATAAAGAATATAAAAAATATTATTTTTCGTTCTTTATACATTTCAATCTCTTATTCCATCAGAAGATTACAGTTTTAACTTGGTACTGTATAATACAAATTCATAAAATTTGAATTTATACGTAACATCTTTCATACTTGCACAAAAAACGCCTCATTTCACAAGTATATACCAAAACATTCATATTTCTATATATGCGTCTCATCTAAAAATATGTACCAGGTTGGTGCGGCTATTTTTTTACATGTTAATGATAATATTATTGTTATCGTTGTTTTATCATTTTTATTATACAGTACGTAAAATAAATAACGAAATTGTTTCTTAGAAAACACAAACCTCGTGAAGCAAGTATAGGCTTAATCGTGGAAAATATCTAGGCTTCTGGATTAACATTAACCGTTCTACTACAACAAATAAATTTTCCGTTAATATTAAACACTTTAAAAGTTTATAAAAATTATCATTGTTAAACAAGTTGTTTTTCATTTTATCAAAATTCTTCTCAAATAAAAATGGAACAAAAATTAAGGTTCAACTTTCCTAGTACAAAAAAAAAAAGCGTAAGAAAAAAAAGCAAAAGAAAGAAAATATAATTATAAAACGCAATATACAGTATAAACAATGTTTAATAGGTTAAATGTTGTTATGCTTTTATGTGATATATTTAAATTTATTTTTACATATATGGGGCCCCTCACAGCAAAAGAAGGGGATGAGCCAAAAAAATTTTTTTTAAAAAAATTCAATATCTTGAAGAATTAGATTGATTAGAATAAAATTATTATAAAATTAAAACATCTGATTTTTTGGCCCATCCCCTCCTTTTGCTGTGGGAGGTCCCATATTATCGTTAGTAACTAATAAATAATTTTATTGATTTCGCTGATACCATCTAACACAGTGACGCACCAACCAGGTACGTACATATTTTTCGGATGCGTCACTCATTAGGTTAATTTTATTTCGTGTAAATATAGTGCGTGCATAATAATCTATGTGTTTTCTGATTTGGTAAAAACATCTGAGCTACGTATAAAACCATAATTTAGAAAATTAATAACGATAATAGAATTCACTCCGTAAATTTGAAAACTATAATAGGAATCAATTGCGAATACATCATCTGTTGCAATCTCAATTACAAACTATAAGCTTAAAATAAATGTGACACAAAAAATACTGCAATATGACACAAATTCCCATGTGGGTATTGTAGTATATATTGCTCCGGAATATCTGGAGCTACAAAGCCGGGGCGGGTTGAACTTCACCCCACTCCATTTAACCCTACTGGCGAGACTCTTAAAAGGATACACTAACATTACGTAGTTCTAGTGCACCCCAGCATTAAAAACTATATATGGCAATGTAATTCGTTTCAAATTCAATTAGCAATTTTACTGTATATCTAAAATGATAATATGCATATCATATCCATTATACCTAATTATGATCGTCTAAAAAAAAGTTAACTTTATATTGTTATAATTCAATTGTTTATACTAATTTGGTTTTCTAGATCCTAAAATGTGCATTAGTATGTATCAAAAATAATATTATTCTTAATTATTAAGATTGTTGTCATATATGCAAACTTAACTAATATTAAGTTTTCCCACCTATTGTCCTACTACTAAAACATTTAATTTTATATGCAAAAAAAAACGAAATAATTCTTATATAAATCGTGTGTGGTTTCTTTTTTATCTGTTTATAGTAATAAATCTTCGCATGCTGGCGGCGAAGACCATCCTTGTATATTTTGTTCTATTAAAAAAAAACTTTCATTAAATAATATATTTATATTTTTCTTAATTCTCTCCTTAATATATATATATATATGTATGTAAATAATTTTACCATAACACATGATATGGGTAACGAATTGTCACGTAAAATCTCTTACAAAAAGTCTACAATCAAAAAATTTAAACCTCGTCGCATCACCATACCTACCATCCGTCATAGAAATCTGTCTTCGAACTCCACAATGTATTCTCACCACGACCTTCACCAGTCACCTCAATCCTCTCAAATAAAATGTAGGCACTTTTTCCGTTTTTTTGATGATCAAGGATGGTGTAAAACATGTACAATTAAAGGTTGGTCGAGTGGTCTCCAGGATCTCGACAAACTAATTAGAAAAACTCAACGAAAAGCTACTAAATGGTCAGATAATTATTTAGAATGGATTGATTTTAATCAATTTGAGGATTTTAAAGAGATCGGTGAAGGTGCATATAGTGTGGTTTATGAGGCTACGTGGCTGAATGGTCGAAGATGTAAAAGAGGAAAGAATGAAAAGGGAAGACGATGTTCAAGAACTGAACCTATTAAAGTTGTGTTAAAGAGCATAAAAAATTCTAAAAATATGTCGAATTATTATATTAAGAGTGTAAATACTTATTTTGTTATTAAATTTATTATGTATTTTATTATATTCGCCTAACGAACGTACTTGCACATTTATATTGTAGTTAAAAGAATACTATCGATACAGCGCATTGATATGTCCTCAACGGATTCAAAACTATTTAGAATTCTATGGAGTAACACAAAACCCAACTTCTGGTGAATACATGCTAGTAATTCAACATGCGACTTTCGGAAGTCTACGTCAATTCATGCATGCTTCTCCCTCTACCTTCGCCTCCTTCAAATGGTCCGAAAAACTTTGGTGGTTATGCGATATCGCTTCTAATCTCCTCGTAATTCATAAATCACGCTATGTTCATGGAAATTTACATACTGGTAATATCCTCCAAGTCGGTATGGACGAACGAGAGACCTATTCGACGATAGCAGATTTAGGATTGTGTATACCAGCTAATAGTATTTCATCAATTGCTACATGTGAGAAATCATTAAATGGTAATAATTTAATTTATGGCGTGTTACCATTCATTGCTCCAGAAGCTTTACTAGGAAATCCAGTCAGTAAATATTCAGATATTTATAGCTTTGGAATTATTATGACTGAAATTGCAACTGGCAAGCTACCTTTTGGTAATATTCCGCATGATGAAAAATTGGCTTCTGAGATCTGTTATAAAGGATTAAGGCCACAGATTCCGAACACACTTGCACCGAAACGTTTTAGAAATTTAGTGGAACGCTGCTGTCACCCGGATCCATTGGAAAGACCTACCGCGAAACAATTGAAGTATATTTTCGATTATTGGTATCAGTGTGCAATTGGAAATTTGAGACGCGACTCTAGGTGTATGAAGATCATGAACGAATTTTTAAGAGCTGATGAACAAGCTAATATATTATTTCAAGAAAGTGAGATGTTTGAGCAAGAAGAAGAAATGAAAGATAAAACTTGGTTCACAAGTAGGTTATGGACTTTTAAGTTGAATAATGACTCTATTACTGAGTTAATTACTTCAACAGAAATTATGGAGAATTGGGAAATGCAGCAATCACAAAAATCTGAACAAAAATCACAACGCATTACTACAGAGCCTGAAAATAATACTTCTAGTGGTACCTATTTTATCTAACTTATTTAATAATAATTATCCTTTTTTTTCATTATTAAAGCTTGACTTGTTTTTTATTGTGTAGGGCCTTGAATGCTAATGAAGTTGCAAACTTTCAAAATTTGAAGTTAACTACTGTAAACTAACTCTATATACTGTATACATATATATTATTTAACTTTTTTTTTTTAATTCTTTATATGTTATAGTTATGTTATTTCAAAAACTATTACACATGTAATAGGATTCTTTAATTGAATATTTAATTTTCTGTTTTTTAAACTTTTGCAAAAAGTTTATTTTAAATAATAATAATTGAACTTACTAAACACATCAGTGGTGTCTAATTCTATCTCAAGAGCTAGATAAGTAATGAACATCCGGTGCTCAAAAGTAAAATACTTAGTGCTTTTAAAATCTTTTTCTAACTTTGATTGTAACCTTAATTTTATCCTAACTCCTAATTCTAATTTTAAATTTTCATAATAAATTTTTTTAAAAATATCTATGATACTGTATTTAAGCATTCCCTGCGTGTTTTAGTATTATTTGTGATATTTAATTAAAATCAGTACTGCAATATATATTGATTTAAATTTGGAGAATTGCTATTTTCACTCCTAAAATTTAAAAAAGTGCTCCGGAAGAGCATTTTTATTAAGTAAAACCCTTATTTTGATCTTAATAAAAGTTGTTCACCAGGCCTTTCTGGTTCTAATGGTAGTAAAATCATTAAAATCGGACCAATAGTTTTTTTTTTTAAACGCAAATGAAAGTTAACTAACTTCGGATATACTACTGGTCCGATTTTAATGATTTTACTACCATTAGAGCAAGAAAGGCCTGATGAACAACTTTTATTAAGATCAAAATAAGGATTTACTTAATAAAAATACCTCCTACGGAGCACTTTTTGATATCTGGGGGGTGGGATTAGCAAAAATGGGGGGTGAAAATAGCAATTTTCTAATTTTATATTACATCTAATTGTACAATCCAATTAGCTTCTTATAATACCCATGTATACTGTATACATACATGTAGTATACGAATAGAAATTTTCTAAATATTAACATGTGTTTTAAATTTAAATTTAGTAGAAATAGGTTTATTTAAAATTTTATGATTATAGAATATTTTCACTAAATTTGGCTCAGTTATTTGCCAAGATATCTCTAAAAATTTTAAATGCTTATCAAGATTAGCATTCTAAATAATCTGGATCTGATCCAATCCGAACTACTTTACATACAAATCATTCTAACAAAAGTTTGACCGGTATTTATCAATCGACAACTGTTACTACGTTTAAAGCTATAATTTAGTTTTAAAAAGTATACCAAACACTGATAGATTGGCCAGCGCTACTCATGCTACATAAAGCTACGAAAAATTACTGGCATTATAATATAATTTAGGCCGACTTGATAATGCCGGCGATAAAATTATTTTGTGTATATAACTGAATTTTGTCAAATAAAATATCTTTTTTCTTGGGAAAAGCTAGATTATGCGCAGATTATGTGTGTTTCTTTAAATTATGCAAATCGAATATTTTATGCGCTATAAGGCAAATTATGCGGATATTATGTCGGATCATAATCTGGACCAGGGCTAAAACGACACATAGTAAATACCGGCTATTCAATAAGTGTTATTTTTGATCCATATTAGGCCATACAAACTTAGATTCGGTTTTCATAACCCGGCCGGGTCAAAACTTACAAATTTTTTTCAAAAAATTTTAAGTATATTTATTATCCGGGTGAGTTTTTTAAAAAAATCTATAAAAAATTTTATATGTTTTTTATATATAAAA